CGACAAATTAGCTAAGCAGCTATTTCAGCTTGCACCTCCAGGGTGTTAAATTGATTGAAGTTACAGAGATGACTTCTGCCACGAAGCTCAATAACTCTGAGTCAACTTGACTGGAGGAAGCAAGGACAAGCGGGAACAGATCTTGACACCGGGCCACAGGAATGTCTCAAAAGACCTTCAAGAAAAAAATGGTGTAAGCAAAACACGTCAATTAAGGTGAATGAATAATTGAATCGCTCGGTTTAAATTAGTTTTGACAAGCCTGTAAGACGAAAGCAGCTTCCTTTGATGGATTCATCCAGCAGGTTAAAGTCCAAGGTGCACACTCTTCCGCTGAAGGCATCTTCCTCGTCTCTTAGCTGAGGATTTAACATCCATTTGGGACTGTGATGTTAACTGGATCTTAGTTTCACTTCCATTTCTGGCTCCCTTTGACTCTGAAGCAAAAATAAACAGTCTTTATGAAGATAGTGTGTGTTCTTCTGTCGCTAGGACTCTGGGTGCTCTCTCTGCTACGTTAGCTCGTCCCATCCACACTTCACCAGAACCTTTCATGTCCCTGTTGACTCACATGGAGCTCCTGAGAAACGACAAGAAGTAAGAAACAACAACAGAGGCAGATTGCCCGGTTTTCCAAGGCCACTCTTGGTTTGGTCCACTTGAAACACAAATGGTTTTCCTGGGAAAATCTGCTTCTTTAGGTCAGCTGGGGCGACTCATCCTAAAGACCTCTGGTCCACCTGAAGGCGGGTCTTGGTAGCAACATAGAGTGAAGTGTATTGTGGGTAAAAATGCTAAATCAACCCAGATGAAGGTGTGGATTATTGTGGAATTCCCTGCCTGACTGAATGATATCTCCTGGATCATCCTGGTGCTCCTGAGCCTTGCTGTATTTGGTTTCTTTCACCATGAAAGCTTAATTACTTGTAAAACAGTAAATAGCTGGGAAGAAACGTTTGAGATATCAAATCAAAACGTGAGTTTAGGGAGAATCTTCAGCTAAACAGTCTTCTTTCTCTGTATGTTGATGCCAGCGACGGGAACCACCTGGTGGAGAGGTGGGGGTACTTCAGCATCTCTCATCAAATAAGGGTGAAAATGTATTTTTTAAATTAGAAAAATAAATCATCTGATTAGAATATTATCTGGATTGGTGTAGACAGAGCGGCCATGTTTTTTATCCCTCCCACTGTCTTTATGGGTGTGACCCCGCGAGGAAAGTTGACCACTGAGCAGGATTAATGGTTTGTCCCTTGAGGTCCACGTGGCAGGGGCGAGGTGGTGCTCACTCCTCACCCCTGCCACATGGACCCAAGGGATGAACCATCCATCCTGCTCAATGTTCAACTTTCCTCACGGGGTCACTCCCATTAGGACAGTGGGAGGGTTAATGGTGCGACAGGCTTTGTGGCCAGGACCGTCCCTCCTCTCTCCATCCACGGTGTGTGTTTGGCTTTACGAAGAAAGCGCCGACTGTCAGCTCTCCTGACTCTCCACATGCCCCTGATGTCTATCTAGATGCCGGCCCTCATCCTCATCAAGCCGTCTCTCGGCTTGCAGATCACTCGCTGACATAATCGGCTTTGACCGCAGCACAGAGAGAGAAACTTGTGAAAAAAACAAAAATTTCCAGCCATCAGCTGTCGGTGAGAATTGTTCTTGTGTAGATCTAACGTTGCTTCCTTCAGTCAGAAGACCTCTGCACTAAAGACGTGAAGCTGTTGGCTCATCTGGATCAGAATGCTCTTTGGGTTTTACGTTTCACGCATGCACGCTGAGAAAGGCTGTGAATTTTGAAGGAAATTGATGAAGTGACAGCTTGTTCTGTCAGTCAGAATGTGACCAGCATGCTTGAGGCTCCATTTGTTGTTCCCTCAGAGAACACTACGAGGTTCTGTTTCAGTCAACGTGCATCCCGTCACCTCAGACGGTTACAGAACGACACGTTTATTTCCTCACTGATTAACAAATTGAGTTGTTTCAGCCTGATCATTAAACCAAACACGGGAGTTGGCTTGAAGCTTTGTGATGGTAACAGACACATTATTGGACTTCAGGTTATCCTGGTGGAGCGTTTACATTCATCCTAACAGCAATTTAAAGTAGGCGTGTAGGTGGATGCATGGAGCGAACTATAGAGTGGTCGGGAAAAGGAACTTTGTGTTTGGGTTTGGGTCTGACTTCCTGCACAACGGAGCAGCTGCAAAGCAGCTTAAACAGTTATAAAATATGCTGTCATGCATGTATACAGCACGGGGGACCTCTGGTTCCTGGATTAACCTGTTTTTGTAAAACTGGATGAGCAAAAAGATGTAAAAGCCTGTAAAATATGAACCTGCAATACAGGTTTATGCATTACAATTATTATACAGAGTTCTGCTGCTTTATGCATTTTAAACGTGGCTGTGTGTAAAAATGTTTATGAAATAAATTAAATTACATTAGATCTCTAGCAGCAGCATGTCTGAAAACTTTAAGGTAATCGGGTCATTCAGAGGAGTTTGCTTTTAAATTGCATGATAGGTTTTCAAGAACGACGAGTGAAATCAAAAGTTGCAGAAGGTTTGACCCAAACGCACCCACCACAGGAGTTCCTGTGCTGATCCTGCGGAGTCGCCCTGAGGGGGTGCAGAGGGCCGGCCAGCCGCTGCCCTTCAGCTCACCTGAGCTTCGACGCAGCGACGCCGGGTCTGTGACACGCAGAAGGAACCGTCCCAGTTCAGACCTCTCTGCCTCATCTCCTACGCGTCTCCACCGGAGTGTGGCAACAACGCGGGGTGCTCTAAAGCTCACTGATGCTCGCTCACTTTGAAATGTAGGACACACGACTGCTCAACACAGAATAGATAACAGTGGCAGATTTAGGAAAGAGAGATTAAATGTGTGTGGACTGAGAAACACACTGAGAAAAGGAAAGGAGTGGCCCCTCCTGTCACTCACGGGTGAGTCTGACAAAAACATCATTCATATAAAAAGTCCAAAGTCTGATAAACTATGGAACGTGAAATAAAATCCTAAATAAATGCAGAAGTTTACCTGAAGTCTGCTCTGGGGGTGACCAAGGCAAGGGAGGCAGAAAAGATTCAAACCCACCCTGGGGGGAATTCACCAGCCCTGTGGGGAGCCCTGTGGGGAGCCCTGTGGGGAGCGTACACTCAGAGACCCAGGATGAGGGTCAAGGCATGGTGGGACACGTCGTGGTGTGTTGTGTCCTCCTCAACAGGTCATCCTACTGAATATGTAACACGTCTCACTGACATCCCAGACTAGCTCTCATCGGGAGGAGGCAGCGCTTTAATTAAACCGAGGAGATCGGCTCCTCTGTGATCTGAAGGATAAGGGAGGCGGAGAGGAATTAGGAGAATTAAAAGTGGATGAAACATAAAAACAGACGAACGTGTCGAAACCTCAAGAAGAAAAATCTAAAATCCTAACAAAATGAATCGTTCAGAAGGGAGCGGAAGAACGCTTCCGTTAGCTATAATGAGCCTTTTTGTGAGGTCGTAGTTTTGTAACCTAAGCAGGCCTGTGTGTGTGTGTGTGTGTGTGTGTGTGTGTGTGTGTGCGTGCGTGCGTGCGTGCGTGCGTGCGTGTGTGTGTGTGTGTGTGTGTGTGTGTGTGTGTGAGAGATACTGCTGATTCAGTAGGGATGGATGAAGGTGACCCCCGCCTGCTCCTACTGCCTGTCTCACCACCTGATATTGATCCCAGTTGCCCAACTCAGCTCTGCCTCGAGGATGTGCGTTTATTGCCGTCTTGACATTTCAAATATGACATTGCGTGACTTGTAACTCCAACCTTATTAGACTTTAGTTACCGATTCTCCACCTGAAGTCAGACTAAACCACTCCCAACTGATCTGAACTGAAATTCCAGAAGCGAGCAGACATTTACCCCAGACAGGACTTGTGGGGCAGGTTGTTGTTGTTTTCATGTCAGACTGCACACAAACTGTTGAGAACTAAGAATAGAGTGGGTTACAACTGCTGAATTCAAATGCAGTGGCCAGGAGCAAAGGTTTGGACCACAGATGGGAGAATGTGCCTGATTGGACCTGCACTGTCAAGGGTAAACTGCCTTCCACACACACACACACACACACACACACACACACACACACACACACACACACACACACACACACACACACACACACACACACACACACACACACACACACTTCACTTTAAAACAGCAGCATGAATATGCATGATGCTGAAGGGTGCAGGAGGTACATAATTAGACAATCAACAACTCCCAAGTGACATGCCTTACTACGACAGACGTGAGATGCTCCTTATTTTATCCTCCCCTCTTGTTAGCAGTGAAATGCATGCCGTGTTAGCACGACATGCATTTCCACTTACTATGGGTTCAAACTTCAGCTGAAATGCTGAACAAAACCTTGTAGGCTCTGCTTGCTTTAGCAGCAGCTGCTGAGATCCTGGACGTGACCAGAGGGAGACAAACAACAACAACAACAACAAAAAAAGGTGTGAGGAGTACATGTGACAATCCAGCACAATGTGCTGCTCCTGTTCCAACACATTAATGATTCCTATTAGCAGCATCACCTTGACTGCAACCAGATCCGGAGCATTTCCGTCAGGGTCAGGAATCCATCACTTCCAAAACAAGCTGCCCAAACGAGCTGGGACACACCCAAAACAAACACTCTCACACATACAGAGGGCTGCAGGGCACTTGTGCACGCTCCTGTATGCACATGCATGCACACACACCTGGCTGTGAACCACAGAGTATTTGAATCAGTCTATTATTCATGGCAAAGGGGGTGCAGGTGCACTGAGCACGAGCTTCTGTTTAGTTTTCATTAAGGCAATTTGTGAGGAAGGCGATTGAAACCGATAAAGAAAATAGAAAAGCTATCAAGAAACTCTCAAAACACACACACACACACACACACACACACACACACACACACACACACACACACGAAGCAGATTCTCAGATTTCTCATATTTAGACTGAATACTGACCTGCCTTGCCGCTGACACACACACATTCTCTTCAAGCAGTTCAGCCTTTCAAAGAGGATCCGTTTGAACGCGTCTATATACATTGACCCTGCCGAGGTTAAAAAAGGAGCAGCACTTTAATAAATAACGCGACCTGTTTGGTTTGGAGCAACAGCAGGAGCTGGAGGAGGAGCGAGGAAGAGTCTGGAGTCTGGAGGAGATGAGATGAAAGGCGATCAGCCGGAGCCAGCGGAGAAAGTCAGAGCCGATGCGCACGGCTGACGGGATGTTTGGACACTAGTGATGCTCTGGGAGCTGAGGAGAGCGAGAGAGCGGGGAGAGCAGGAGAGAGAGAGAGAGAGAGGAAAATAAAACACACACACACACACACACACACTATCGGGCAGATTTGACGGCGGTCGCAGATAATTTCAGCAGCTGCTACATTGCTGCGAGCAAAAAGGAGAAAGGAGGAAAAAACAAGAAGGCGTGGATGGTTGTGACCCAAACGGGAGGTTTTAACTTGTGCAAAGAGAACAGTGCGTTTCTTACCCCCATGTTCACTCTCTGCGCCTCATCGTTTATCCATCATGCATACAGAAAAAGCCCGAATTACCCCCCAAAAAATCATACAAATGTCGGGTTCAGCAAATAAAGGTGTCGCTGAACTTCAGAGGTTGCGCAAAAGCAGGTGCGGAAATAGTAATAAGGTTGCGCTCATGCTGCTGACATGCAAATGCGGAGAAAAAAACAGCAACATTAGGCTACATGGCTAATGAAAAGGTTAACCTCACAAGTTCAGGCGCTCAGGAGGCACTGGGAGGAGGAGTTAAAAGCCCCGCCCACATTCTGCCTAAAACACACCTGCATCAGCAGCACCAGAGTCCGCTTCACTATCTGCGATTTAAAGGAGTCAGACCCACGCATTAATCCAACTCATTCAGCTCTTGTTTCTTTTTATTACAGGAGACTAAAAAGCTCCAGATAAACTATAGGGGTTTACAAGATGACCGCTTCAACGGAGCGATGTTTCAGCTTTTCAAAAATAGACCTGCAAGTCTAGACATGTTCACAATGAAAGTGTTAAACATCAGTACCTTTCTATTTTAAATCAAGTGTCAGTGTAATTACCGTCTGTTTAACTACTTTAAATGATTTGATATATTATTTAGTTACTAATAACCAACGGATTTCACAAATAAATCAGTAAATCTCGGATTGCCTGCGACCTTTAAAGAACTCTTATTATGAGGCATGATGGGATCTGTAGTCAATTGCAGCCTAGAGTGGTTATCGGGCTCGTTAACGCAACCCCATCTCCCAGAATGCACTGCGCCCTCATCGTTCTTCTTCCACAAACAATCATGGCGTCGCACGGAGACGGTTCAGGTGCCGCCGAGAACCAAGGAGATAAAAAGGCAGCGGCGGTATCGTTTGGTTTCACAAAAACTGTCAGCAAATTTAAACCCGCAGCCGGCGGCATTCCAGCCAAGACCGACGAGAAGGATTACCTGACTGGAATCGACCGAAATGAGTTACAGAGGTAGGCTAACCGCTAGCTAGAGGCTAAAGCTGTCAGTGGTTTGTAAACGGAGTGGTGACGTTTGAACTCTAAATCTGACTGACCACACTTTTACGTGGTGTGTGTAATGTATCTACCCGGGACACTTTAAAGATTTAACTTTTGTCTTCCGTGGCAGTTCAAAGCCAACCGAGAAGCCCAAAGAGCTCATCATCCCATTGATCCAGAAGAACCGCTGGCACAAACCGGACCGAGCGGACCCGAGTGGAGGCTCAGCGCGCGGCTCGGTCCAAGACAAAGACTCGGTGGAGTCTCAAGCTGTCAAAGAACTCATTGAAGGTTTGTGGTTGAAAAAGATGCAGAAGTTGGACAATGAATGGTTGCGTGTCAAAATGTGTACCCCCTCGCAAACGGAGCCCATCCTGGAAGTGTCTTCCTGCTAGACTGTAAAACAATTAAGAGCACGAGCTCCATGGCCGGTTTGTGTGTGTATTAGACAGTTTTTACTTTCCTACCCAACACTAAGAAAACCATCTTTATCAGTGACGTTGTGTGTTTCTGCTTGTAGATTCACGGAGGCAGCTGGAGCAATGGCAGAATGCAGCAGAGTCGAACAGAAGCCTGGACCTCTCCATCCCTCTGTTGATGCAGAACAAAGTCCCTGAGGGTTTTGAGGATGGAGACCATGTAAAGGTGGACCTGCGGCCTGAATCTGTAAGTGGGGACAGAACGGGCTGTAAGAGACTTAGGAGTATGCAAAGTTTACCAGACGAATGAGAAAAGATAGAAAAATTAATTATTCACAATTTTGTTGTTAGAGCAGCTTAAGTCAAGCCATCTGTTATAGTCAGTAATGCAACAAACCAGAACCTTTAGATTTATAAAACAAATGGAATAAACCTTTAAAAGGTTTAGTAAAGTACAGCAAAATTATTCTTTATCTTAATGATTAATTTAAAGCACGTGTACATGCTACTGCAGCAATCTGACACCCGGATCTACCAATATCCATCAAAAGTAGAGATGTAAGAAAATATCGATATGGCAATATATCGTGATATTTTTCCCAGCAACATTATATCGATATTCAAAAGCCGTGTATCGGAAATATCGATGTGGCAATATATCGTGATATTTTTTCCTGCGATTATTACATCGATATTCAAAAGCCGTGTATCTAATTCCTGAAAGAATTTACATGCAAACATTTGTGTATTTTCGTTTTGCGCAATTCAATCAGCACCCGCTAGTTGGCAGCAGTGTGCAGCGGGTTTTGTTTCCACCACTGAAATGTAAATCCCTCCATCATGGTTCAGATACCTCATGTTAAACATGTTACGTATCAGTTTGGACTGTTTATTGAACATTCTTACAATAAATTCAGTTAAAAAATTGCTTGTAACGTCTGACTGAATGTATCGCAATATATCGTGAAATATCGTATCGTCTCCCCTGTATCGTGATATGTATCGTATCACAAGAATTTCAAAAATACACATTCCTAATCAAAAGGCATGCTTACATCATCTTCGTCAGCTTGTTAAAGGATTGTACCACCTCACAGACGTTTGGTTGTGATGTTAGCAGCAAACCATGAAAAGTAAAGTTCGACCGATAATGGTTTTTCTGTTGCCGATACCGACGTGTAAAGGTTACGGACAGCTGATGGACGATTAGTGTTGCCAATGTTCTGTGCCGATTTTCATGTCTAGATGTTTTCCGCCCTATTTTCATGCTAATATGTCACAGGTAACACCAGTAAATGCACAAAATTTCAGAAGCTGAATCGGTTTTTGAACACTAAATTTAACTGTTAAATTTTAATCTTGTGCACTGCTCAGTGTTAAAACCAGACGTCTCACTAAAGTTAATCAAACAAATCAGGATACTGACCGAGTATTAAATGCTCAAAACTGGTAAACAAACTCTTATTTTTGGTGGAAATAATTTTTAGAGCATTAATTAAAGCAGATGCTATTCAGGAACATAAAAATACAATTAAATCCTGCAGCAGTGCCGGGCTGCCTGGGGATGTGCCTGACTTAAAACCGGCTAGGTTGTGTAATTGACAGTGAAAACTGTAAAAACCACGTTAAATCCAGAAAAAGCTGACAGGTTGAAGAAATCAGCAGTGACAATTTCATCAGTAACAAACGAATCTTTAAACTTCACTTCCTGACGGACGTGAAGGAAGGCCGTCGGTCTGAGCTCGTTATCTGTCTGAGGATGCTACGGGAAGGTTGTGATAGAATCTTCTGGACAGGTGCCTCAGTGAGGGCACGAAAACACCTGACAGTACAAAACGTCTGCTACTGGAGAATGGCTGCTGAAATTTGAGTGTGTGAAAATGCTGAGTACAACAATGTGTGTGTGTGTGTGCGCATGTGTGTGCGTGCGTGCACACAGGGCAGTCAGGCTTTGGTGGCAGACGGGCGTCAGTATTCTCCCCAGAGACATGAAGAGAGCCAATCAGGTTGTTTTCTCACGAACAGCCCTTCCCGTCTCTTCTGTATCGGTTCATGTCGGCGCTGCTTCTCTGTGGATGTGACTGGCAGCACACCGGGGTCAGGCGGGCTGGCCTCTGCCCCCGAGCTGATGTTAATGTGGTTTCCTCTGTGAGAGACGGCTCCCAGACGCGCTGAGAGGAGACAGGGATGAGTGAGGAGGTCTGCTGGGATCAGCCGGAGCGGAGTGGAGTGTGACAGCCTGAAGCCAAACGGCTGACTAAGGCCGGCATCACAAACCGAATCTGTTTCGCACCAACAGTTGTGTTTCTGAAAAGTCCTTCATTAAACCTTGTACGTTTCTGTTTGTGAGTCTGACGACTCTTCATGTCGGAGCGGATCATCTGATCATGTGTGCTTGTCAGTCGACAGAGGCAGATTACGAGAGCGTTCCTGTTGAAGCTTACGGACTCGCCATGCTTAAAGGGATGGGCTGGAAGAAAGGAGAAGGCATCGGACGAACCTTTAAACAGTAGGTCACACCTCCATCCGAGTGCTTCCTGTCAGATCAGTCAGAATGATGTTTAAACAGACAACTATTCAGATTTCATTTCAAACTAACACGCTGAGCTGTTTGCCACCCGACTGCCACCTGTTCAGGTAGTCCGACTGGCCTGAGAACCTGAGAAAAGCCAAACCACGAAGGCATGAACACCTCCCAGGACCCGAGCGTTGGGCTGGTGTGCGCTAGCCCGCTGGGATTAGTAGGACCTCATAGTCACAAAAACAAATAGAAATGTATGAATGCAGTAATCAGAAGTGATTGTTTTAGAAACCGGAGTCGGCGCCCTCAGGTCTTCACAGAGCAGGCCACACACACCAGCGTCACTTAGAAAGCCCCGTATTTAACCCAAACAACACTGACCTGTGTGTGATGCTGGTGGTTTCTGGGCTGGTGGCTCCAGATGTTCCTGTTTCTGTTTCAGCGTTGCTGCCGGGCCTGAGCGTCTCAGCCCTTCAGCCATGTCTGTCGCGCTTGCAGCTCTTGTTCTGCAGCATCTCTGGAGTCTCTTCACTTGTGAAAGTACAATTAGCCATGCTCCATGAAGTTCTCAAGTACTTTACGGTTCTACAGGGTGTCCGCGGGGTTTTAAAAAGTATTAAAAAGTGATAAATACAAATAGTCAAATTTAAGGCCATTAAAAGTGTTAAATTTGGTCTCAGAGGTATTATTTTTTCCAAATTAGGTATTATTTTTTTCAGACTATCAGGTGTCGTATTCTGAACATCGACATAGAAATATATTCCGAATGAAATGTTTTGAACGATTATACAAACAAAACAAGCCGATTATTTGCTCCTCCCGCTTGCGCTGCCCTGAGTTGCAAATGAAGCGCTCCACAGCGTTGGCGACTTTGACGCTATTTCCAACAGCTTCTCAGACCCCCTTCTTGACTTTTTAAATCTAAAAGTACCTAGCGAACACCTCAGAAACATCTCTGGGAACCCTTAGCTACTTTCTGGATAACCGTCGTTGACATTTCCTGCAGGTTAGCTAAACACTACGCCTGCACTCCGGACCGTTCTTCAGGACATTAGGAAAGGGAATAATGTAGTGATGTGTCGGTCGCTAAAGAAACGGCTCTCGGAGCCGGCTCCCTGTTGGATTAACCAGAGTGAGTGACACACACACCGTACCTGCGGGCTCCTGAGCCGCTAAAAACAGCTAAATGTGCTCGTGCGGCGCGCTAAACACGTGCAGTTTGCCCCTGATTGCTGTGAGACCGGTTTGGGGGGTGGGGGGTGCAGCTGTGGTTGAGACAATTATTACATTAACTGATCGACCTGTAAATAGTTTATAAATAAGGTAGAAATAAGTTCCTCACGCTGATAAATAATAACTAATCTCTCTGAGGACACGGTGCTAGTGCACTCTCCTACAGCACCTTGACACGACTTCAGTAAATGTTATGCAACATTTTGTGAACATCAATTTATTTGCATGTATTTGTTATAAATGCCACCGTATAATTCTTGCTGTCAGTATTTGCAAAATATTGGTATTTGGGTCTGTACTGGTTAGACTTAAATGAGTTAAACCAAGGTCTATAGCCCTTGGGTCATAAACTATGAGCCATAAGTATATTGGTCTTTTTATACTGGGAATCAGGAGTTATTTTAGTGATCATCTTGTTTCCTATTTATTTTTGTCCTGATTGTGCCCTGAGCAATTTTGTGACTAAATAAAAAAAATCTACATAAATTGAAAAATCGTCTTAAATAATCAATCTCAATTTCAGTCACAATAATCGTGATTATTGTTTTTGCCATAATCGAGCAGCCCTACTTTAGCATATCCGGTCACATAATGATGACGTCATATTCAGTGGTCGTTCCACATCATTTCAGACCTCGTGGTCAACTGTCTGAACCGCTGAACAGAAGTGCCTGGCTTATTTTCTAAGTAAAATAAATATGTGAAATACGTTGTCAACATTAGTGAGTCTCTAAGTCTATTCTTTTTGTATGTTATATATGTTAAAATATGTGTAAATAGGTCGCTGATTAACACTTGTAATTTAGTGTTGTGATGGTTTTAAAAAAATTCTGAAGGTAGTAAAAAAAAGTATTAAAAAGTAGTAAATTTTACTTAAGGATTGCTGTATATACCCTGTTCTACTTTAGGAGTCCTGTTAGGTGTGTAACAACCTCTGAGGGCTGCTGCTATTTGACTTTTTACCCAAACATTTAATGTTGACTCAACCAGTCGGTGGTTTCCTCCAGACACTCTAGCATCTGCATCAAATTAAAAATGGTGCCTTTTTAAACATTACGCTTCATCATTACCGTATTTTCTGGAGTATAAGTCGCACCCGCCATAAAATGTATGATGAAGAAGAAAAATACATATATAAGTCGCATTTTGGGGGGAAGTTTTATTATTTTCTTACTAAATCGGAGACCAAGCGTTTCACATTGCAAGACAAGTGCCGGTAACAATAACGGTCTCCAGCAGAGGATGGCGGTGCTTCAAACCCTCCCAGCGGGCGGGGAGAGCTCATTCCTGGTCCGGAGCCGGCCCGCAGCAGCGCCGTATACATCATTTGGTATGAAAAAAAAAAGTTACTTATATTCCAGAAAATACGGTACTTTATGTGAAGCTTCAGCTTTCTTCTGTCCCAAATTTCATCTCGGTTGATATCGAGACTCTTAATATGTTTTCTTTGTTACGGTTCTGCTTGAATCCCTCCCACCAGCCTGGAGCCGTGCCTACCTCCAGCTCCTGTTCACATCCTTCTCCGTATTGATTCAATGCTGTTGCTGCCTCTCCACCAGAGACGTGAAGCCAATCGAACACCAGCTCCGTCCAAAGGGCCTCGGCCTGGGAGCAGATCGCTCAGCGATAAAGGATCTGGAGCCCAGCAGACATCAGCGTCCCCCAAAGCCCGGCGAGGAGCGGGGGAAGGAGGAGGAGCTGCTGATGGGTCCTGGGGGCTGTGTGCTGGTGGAGTCGGGGGCACATAGGGATCTTTATGGGAAGGTAGAGCTTCTCCTCTCTCACCTGTTCACCAAGGTTTATCTTTAACAACCTTTCTCAAACTTAATTCCTGTGTGGCAGATCGAAGGTGTGGATGCAGACAACGCTCGGGTGGTGGTGAAGCTTGCTATCGGCGGCAAGGCGGTGACGGTCAGCCAGTACGGCGTCAGACTAGTGGGGAGGAAAGAATATGACAAGTACAGCAAAGACCTCAGTGAGAATTGTGCTTTTTATTCAAAAACTGGCACAGTCGATGAGAAAGCTGCCATCTTTCTCCTGAATTTACCGTCAAAGCGACGGCCCAGACAGTAAAGCACCTAAACAGATTAGGACCCACCTTGTGTTTACAGTAATCTGAAAGTACCGCCTCAGTCAGAATCCACGCTACATTGTTGACGTCCGTCCGTCATATTAATGTCGCCGCTTCTCCCCCAAACAGGTCGGCTCAGTAAAGCACACAAAGACAAGGAAAAGGAGCGAGAACGACGGGGTCGGGAGGAGAAAAGCATCGGCAGCAGCGACAAAGCTAAACATAAATCATCTGAAAGAGATGGAGGGAAAGACGAGAGGAAGAGGAAGCACAGAGAGGACGGGTACGCCTCCGTTTCAACTGGAATCACATCATTCCGCCGCCGTTGTTCAGATTAAAATAAATGCTGTGCTTTATCCTCTTCAGAGACAAGCCTCCAGTAAAAGAAGCAAAGAAACCTGCAGCGCCCCCCTCCTGGCTCCAGAGAGACATCAAAGTCCGCTTCATAGACAAAGCTTTCAAGGGGGGCAGATACTACAACTCAAAGGTACCAGGGCCCAGACAGAACCTTGAGTTTAAAGAAGCCCTTCTATGGAGCTTTCTGTTATTATGGGTACTTTTATGGTTCCACTTTGAAGTAATCACACGGATAAACTGTCAGGAGCAGCATCATTCCCAGATTCTCTCCCTCAGATGCGAGTGGAGGACGTCCTGACGCCGTTTACCTGCGTTTGTCGAACTGAAGAGGGAAGGGTGTTAGATGGTGAGTCACAATGCATTATGGGGGGGGGGGGGGTGACGAATGATGGTCCCTAATGGTTTTGGGTCTCCGTTTAAAGACCGGTCCAGTTTAAAAGATCAAGGCATAGATTTTACTAATAAAGTCCAAATGGATGCAGTCAGGAGGAAAAGGCTCGTGGGAGCGACATGAGTCGGCACGGAGAAGCTAAGTGGGACGCAGTAGGCTTTATTATCGCCCCTTTTACAACAAGGAGCATCCATTTATTTATTCCACTTGACCAATCTTTTATGTAGATCACAGGAAATACGGCTGCAGGTCTTTATGATGCCTTTACCCTCGTTATCTGCAGCAGGTTCCAGCGTCTGACCCACAAACATCGCTGGTTTACCTACAGTTCAATTCAATTCAACTTTATTTATAAAGCGCCAAATCACGACAAGAGTCGTCTCAAGGCACTTCACTTAATAAAAATTCCAATTCAGGTCAGTTCATTAAGCCAATCAGAAATAATGTTTCCTATATAAGGAACCCAGCAAATTGCATCGAGTCACTGACTAGTGTCAGTGACTTGATGCAATCCTCATACTAAGCAAGCATAAAGCGACAGTGGAGAGGAAAACTCCCTTTTAACAGGAAGAAACCTCCAGAGAATCCTGGCTCAGTATAAGCAGCCATCCTCCACGACACACTGGGGATGGAGAAGACAGATTACACACACACACGGACAAGTAATGTGTCTACAGACGGCTGGCTCTAGGAGACGGGACTTGTTTTCCGTTTTAGACTTGTGGAGATGAGGGGTGTTTGGAGTAAAGTCGACGTGGCAGCGGCTGACACCACGTGCACTGATGAGTCGAGGTCTCGCGTGTTTTTAGGATTTGACTAGAACGGCTCTAACCCTTTAGGGTGACATGCATTCCTGCAGGGATGCTGGGACTTTTAGTGGGAGACTAATCGGTGCCTTGCAGAGAAGCATAAGATGTCATTGTGCAGGTAATTAGTGTTCATGTAATTATCTCCTGGCTGCTGCCATGGTAACCGTTTTAACTGTGCCAGATGTGAAGCAGGACATGCTGGAAACCATCGTCCCTAAAGGCGAGTACGACTCTGTGATGGTTGTGCTGGGGGAGAACAGGGGCCAGGTGAGCAGATGATCCTTACTGGTTGTGTAATCATAACCGTCGCTGACCAGCTTCTCTGGCTTGATCAGGTGGGCCGGATTCTTCAGCGGGACAAGAACAAGTGCAGAGCCACGGTCCAGCTGGACAGATGCGAGGAGGAGCTGTTCACGCTGGATTACGACTGCATTTGTCACTACGTAGGAGACCACTGAAGCCTGGTCCTTCGCCTCGTCTTAAGTGTTGCTTTTCTAATGATGGACAGTATTTTAACACTTTGGAATTTTTAATAAAACCTTGGAAAAGTGTTTGTGCAGGCGTTCTTACAGTTACGACGAGCCCCAGCAGATGCTTTTCTCACCAGAGTAAGAACTGATTATGTTAACTGGTGGTTCTAGTAACAACATGAAATCCATTTTATTATAAAACATATTTACAACAAGTTTGATCTCTAAAATGTCAGCATGCGACATCACGTCTAACAACAAGAGGTGTGCGCAGGACGCAGAGCGTCTCCGTGGGAGCGCTTCTCATTCCTTGGGCGGTTGGTTGGCAGCGTTGGCCCGCAGCACCGCGCCTGGACTCGGGTACGGCCGCTGCTGGAACAGCGGGCCGGCGGCTGTGGTGTCTGCACCGGTTTTGGCCTCGTTGCGTTTGGGAAGACCACTCGACCAAGAGCCCCTGTGGAAAACAGTTCAGCAGACCTTTAGAGTGGGCCAGCTTGTTTGCTAACGCCTGGTTGTTTAGCTAGCGCTAGAGCCGTTTCAGCTGGTTAACTTGACCGTTTCGTGTATTCAGCAGACGCGTTTGTCCAGAGTGACTCACAAATGAGCGTTTTTACACACAACACAAATGTGTTGGGCTGTTCTGCAAAAAAAACCTAAAGTTCTGACTTCAGTCGACAGGACAAACCACAGAACCCGATCCCTTTAGTACCCGTTTCAGCCAGAAGCCTTCCAGGAATCCACTTGTTGAAAACTACAAATTTTATTCCTGCAAGTGTGCATTAGTGGCATTTCCATAGATGCGGCTAAAGACGCCATCACTATAAAGCCAGGCGTTGAGTTTTGAATAAATAATATGTAAAGAAAGTTGTAATAATGGGTCAAGGTGACAGGTGCAGCTTTTCCAAAACACGGGATTTAGCTGAATTTAAAGCCTAGACTGCAGAAAGCTTGGCCGAAAGAAAAATGATACTAATGAAAGTAGAACGACTACTTTAGAAGACCCCGAGGCTAAAACTGTATAAATCACATGTTTGATTCAAGTAGCTTTAAAGACGTAAATAAAAACATGATCATGCACCAGAGTTCAGTTCCGGCGGGTCCAGCCCAGAGGGTGAAACCGGAGGAGAGGGACTGCAGCGTGTGACTCAGAAAACTGCAGCCACCTCGCTCCCATGAGGTTTCAGAGCCACGTGACTTGGCGCCTGCTTTGCAGTGCCAGCAGCAGTCGTCCAAAGTTTCTACCCAGCATGCATCATGTTACACCGCTGCTGCAGTGCTGTGCATTCAATTAAAGACTTAAATGTCTGCTTTGTTCTTTAACTTACAAAGCTGAAGCTGACATGTAACTGAGTGGAATGACGACAGGGGTAATTTCCTGCCTGCTGCTTGTTTTACTTTACCTGGGAGCATCAGAATAAGCGCTGGGGTCCATGGGGTCCATCTCGTCATCCTTTCTTCCTGCAAACACGATCAGATTTTAACTGTTATTGTATCACAGATAAAGCTTTAACGTGAAAACGAAAGACTTCTGTAAGCATCACCTCTTTTGTTCTTGTTGTATGGTGCCATGTCGTCCCTCCTTTGCTTTCTTCTGTCTCTGTCCCGCCCATCATCTCTGTCCCTGTCTCTGTCCCGATCTCTTTCTCTTTCCCGGTCCCTATCCCTGTCTCTGTCCCTTTCCCGTTCTCTCTCTCTGTCTGGCTTCTCAAACGGTCGCTCTCCTCTTTCATCTCCCAAATCAGCTAAAAACAAATAATAATGCAATTTCTGTGAAAAACATTCCTCGTTTCTTTTTTAAAGACACTTATGCAAAACTGGCGAGTTTAGTTTTTAAACCCACCTTTCATTTTCTTGGCAGCTTTTGTTATCACAGACGAGGGGTCATTTGGGGACAGCCAGGCGACTAGATCCGTCTCAACATTCCAGTAGTAAGGAAGACCACTGAGGGTGGCAGGAAATCAGGAAGAGAAGGCTAATCAGCTTACATACTAAACATGTAAAAGAGACCCAATGACATCGCTTTGTGAATTCACTGGAAAGCTTCATCTGGACTGCAAACACCCAAACACAAGCGCACTGGAGGTAAAACTACCAAAGAACCGTAGATAACCAGTACAGTGTACGTACCAAGCTGGATCAAACACTTTGTACCAGTTTGGAGGAAGATTCTCTGCTCTGGTGGCTTCATAATCTACATTATTGTCATCATAATCTTCGGCAATAATCTCCTCATCTGCACCTGTTATTAAAGGAGAAAATACTGTTACACGACATACGTGTAAAGTCACAGAGAAGGATGCATGGAGCCAGCGTGTTCAAGCCAAATGAGAACCTCGTTCTGTTGGTTTAACGATCCCCCTCTTGGCCAAGCGGGCCAGCAGAGCTGGAGGAAGAGGCATCCTGAAAAACACGAGATGCTGTCACAACAGTCACCTCGAACATCTGTACATGAGGTCAGTGGTTTCATAAATCCACAGCAAAGATACAGAAAATTTACTTGTTTCTCATGTGTTCTGATATTTAAAGTATACAGCCTCAATTATACACAACGGGGTTTATCCCAATAAACAAAACGTCTCTTTACTGCCAAATTACGTACAAAAACGAGTTAATTTATAACAAATAAACATCTGAACAGAAACCTTTCAGATAAAACATTGTAATGAAATATGGAGAACATAAAGCTCCCAACAGCACACGCAGTAAAAGGCGTCGGGCTTTCAATACAATTTGAATAAATGCTGTTCTTACGTTTTCAGTTGAAGTTATGTTCAACATTTGAGTTGTGTTATTTTTAAAGACTTTAACTACAGATGTAGAAACAGTCTGACATTCGTAAAATCTGCATTTATTTGCACGAACAACAAACGTTTACCCGAAGGCTAACCCTGTTAGCAACCGCTGGATGATTAAATCAACAAGCAGACTGCGTAAGTACTTCCATGCCCGGAAGGAACGAAAATCTGAACGTTTACGCTTCAAAACGGGATCCGAACAGGAACAAGTTTACCTGAGATAAAGAAATTCACCCAATAGCAGAGAAAATGATGTTAGCACCGCCAACGCACTAGTAGCGCCGGTCGCACGTGTATGACGTCACAACGTCTAGACGAAAACAAACATGGAGGAATATGTCCGCGAACCTTGGTAAGATTAGTTTGTCTTTAACTGTAAACTAAATACGGCTAACATACATACCAGTGTTGGTTTTTCTAGTGAAACATAAACATGTGAGAGAACAGAGACGCGTTGTGAGTTCTGCTGTCAATCCACGTATATATACGTGCTTACGTTCAATGCAATTCAAAAATACTTTATTAATCCCAGAGGAAATTGATTGCTGTAGTAGCTCAGAATAATAATAATAAACAAGTCATCAAAGAGTTGTTGTATATTACAATGGCTGTTGGCAGGAAGGATCTCCAGTAGCGGTCAGTGTTGCAGCCAAACTGAAGAAGCCTCTGACTGAAGACACTCTTCCGTTGTCGGACAGTCTTGTGAAGAGAACGCTCAGGGTTGTCCATAATTTTCTTGATTCTCTGGAGAATCCTCCTTTGCATTTTCTCCTCCAGCGGTTCCGAAACTGCCGAAACTCTGGCTGAGTCCTTGAAAGGGCTTGGAGTTCCTCCATCTTGTTGGCCAGTGATCTCACATTGCCCGTTATGATCGATGGAAGAGACGGTTTGAATTTCCTCTTTCTCTGTCTCCGTTTTGCTCCCGCTCTGCACCCACGCTTCTTGCGTTTTAGCTCATTTGGGATTTGTGGCTTCAGTTGAGGTATTATTTCAGCCTTTCCAATGTTAATCAGCTGCTCCCGATTGTAAACCAGCTTGTTGCCATGGTTACGCATCATAACAAATGCTCAAAAAGTGTAAAAAGCTAAAAAATAGCAGTAAAAATCCTCCAAGCTTCACAGCACCAGAAACAGAAAAGTAGTGTCCAAAAAAATACCGTTTCTCTTGAGAAACTAGAAGAAAAAATGCCCAAGAAAAGGCAAAACTTACATATAGTCAACAGAGCTACTCCAACATGCAGCCACCCAGAGCAGCGCAGTTCCGTTGACGTCTGTATCCTGATCTGACTGTATATCTTGTATTTTGACGGTGTCTTGTGTGTCCTCCCCTAACCTCCTGCAGCCCCTGGAGGATTGTGGACGACTGTGGAGGAGCTTTCTCCATGGGTGTCATCGGTGGAGGGGTGTTCCAGGCCATCAAGGGCTTCCGAAATGCCCCTGCTGTGAGTTTAAAACAGACTAGTTTGACTTGACTTCTTGGAAGCCTTTATAAACCTGTCTGTAACATTTCAGGGTGTTGGACACAGACTAAGAGGAAGTGCAAAGGCAGTGAGAGTGAGGGCCCCACAGATTGGAGGTTTGACCCGTTGCTGCTCTGCTCCTCACACACCACTGAAGGATTTTGGTCCCTTTCTCTAAACTGAGCTTCAGCACTGACGTGCTTCTTCTACCAGGTAGCTTTGCCGTATGGGGAGGTCTCTTCTCTACGATTGACTGTGGCTTGGTTCGCCTGAGAGGGAAAGAAGACCCGTGGAACTCTATAACAAGTGGTGCGCTGACTGGAGCCATTCTAGCAGCACGCAGTGAGGATAACACTCAACAACCAAACACTAGACAGGAACTCAGTAACTCACCAAATGTTTTGGTTTGCCTCAGGTGGGCCGTTGACCATGATGGGCTCGGCCATGATGGGCGGGGTTTTACTCGCTCTCATAGAAGGTTTTGGCATTCTCCTAACCAGATACACAGCCCAGCAGTTTCAGAACCGTGAGTGCCTTTCCCGTCTCTGTAATATACACCAGGTGCTCAAACTGAACACCTGCAGACATCTTTAAACCACTTTTGGGTTTTAGTTAAGCCATCTGTCGTTTGAAACCGATAACCAGTAGGATACTTGCAGCACGTCCAAGAAAAGCCTGACAAGTTCACTTCTTTCTGCTTGTTGTCTCCAGCCGTTCCCTTTGCAGAGGACCCCAGTCAGCTTCCTCCGAAGGACGGAGGGCCCCCCCCATAGCCAGCAGCAGGGCCCAAAAGGGCTGTTCCAGTAGAGGGTTGAGTCCAGCTGTAGACCAGAGCAGCAATGCCCTTAGGACTTGGCTGTAGAACCTCAGGGTCAGTGTTTAAATGTTTACGTGCGAGAGTTGTCGCTGTCGTCTTTATGCTTAAATATCTAGTTTGAGTTTCACATAAATGCTTTCATTATTCATAATGATTTAAACACGTATGTTTAAAACATGGGGAGAACATGTTTGGTCTCTTCTGGAGTCCGCGTGGAAACACGAGCTCTCAGCGTAAAACCCTCCTGTCTCCACTGTCTGGATGAGCTGATGTCGCTGGCCCGAGACTGCTGGCAGCCACACAGGCGGAGCGTGAATGTGGACAGGGTCGTGTGGAGCTTATTTACCGCAGTGATGCTAATTTTCTTGTTGTCTTAATGTTCTTTGATTTGACTCCAGATTTATTAATGGACCCTTTGTAAAATGGTCTCATACTGCTGAATGGACGAAGGTTCCAGACATCAGCAGCAAGACGTCTGTTATTATTTTGGGACAAACGCTTGTTAGGACCTGTTCAGAATGGCAGCAACACGAGACAAGGACAATGAGAATCCTTGGAAATTCCCTCTTGATTTGAAAAGGCGCCCCCAGCAGTCACAGATAGCCCAGTGAGAGCCCAGATGCACGCTCATTCACAGCCGCGCTTGCATCACGTTTGAGGATCTCGCTAGAAGACTAGGTCTTTCCTGGAAGAGGTTTGCAGGAAGCTCAGCTCTTACTCGAGTTCCCACACGCTGGTCCTCCTGAACATCTCTGCAGCCTTTTAAAGCTGCAGTTTGTTTGTGAAACCTAGTAAAAGACCAGTGGCTGAAGCCAGCAGTCAACACGCTCCTCTCCAAGACCTGCATGGTGGGGAAACCATTTGCTTGTTTTGTTTCTTCTGTAGGAAAAGTCTTCAGAAAAAGCCTGTAAGCGTAACTCTTACTGATCAAACCACTCGTTTCCTCCGGAGCTGGTGTTGTAGAGTCCAGCAGGCTCAGAGGACACACGTAATCAGGTGCATTTGTGACATTTTGTTCTGTGTGCTCAGCGGATTTTACCCTGAAGAGTTTGTTTTTTCTTCTTCTTCTGTTTAAATGTCAGCGGTGACAGTCACCGCTAACCAGAGCTAGTGCTTCGCTCCTGCTCTTAAGGTGGAATTTGCGTTTCCACACGTGAGATCTGTAACCGTTTGGTTAGAAAAGAAATCAAATAAGATGTCAGCAATGTAAAAATGAAACGTTCTGATGTGAGTTGGCTCACTCTGCTCTGGAACGGCTGCTGATTTTCTTCCGAACTGTAAACAGAGACTATGTTTATTTTATCTAAATATATTTATTGTACAAATATTTAATGAACAATAAAGTTCCAATATATTATTCGATAATGTATTAGTGGTTGTACTTTTGCTAACCTCACACCTGTTCTAGTTTAGGACGTTTAACGTTTTCTAGAGAAATGACAGAATGAAAGTGACCCCTGATGCTGGTTTGTGTCCTCAGTGAAGATTAGCAGAAAAGCTTCTTGCTCACTTGTTGTTGTTGTCAGGTAGGAAGGTCCAGCTCCGTTTCTAACCCAGGATACTGCTGAAGGGGTTTCCATGTGAATAATCTTTATTTTCTGACGATCAAGCCACGTCTGCGTGCGTCTGAAAAACTAGACCTTTGCCTAACTCAACGAGTGTTCCTGTGATATGAAGCCTCACAGGACTGGAGCTTTAGTGGTCTTCCCTCAGAGCCTGGATCTTCTTCTGGTGTCTGTAGAGACCAGCCACCATCTCTATCGATGGTCATCCTTTGGAAGATTCTGTTTGAAAACTCAAGACAAACTGTCCGTGTGCAGCTTCGACTCATCTCATACAACTCCACACTCAGCCGAAGCAGCCAAGAAGGGCTTCTGACACGTTTCTGACTTGACTCTTGTTCAGGTTCTGACTAAAGCCTCAGAGTGATGTGAAGGAAGAAGCCCCCACCCCCCACACACACCCACACACACACACACACACACACACAGGGCAGCACAGGGAGACTAAATCCTCTCAGAAACCAACAGTCCTCAATAAAAAGCTACATTTGTTTGTTTATGTGACGCCTTTCATGGGAGGAAAATCCTAAAATGCTACACAGGAACCCTAACCCTGACCTAAAAGCATAAACTCACCAGATGAAATGATAGATTAGATTCTTAAAGCGATCAACATTTTGCATTTCTCCACAGGGTCACTCTGATTTTATCTAGGAGGAACATCGTTGAGGTCTTAAATAAAAGTTTCCACCTGAAGCTCCATCTCAGCTATTTCCTTTAGTTTTTACTTGTCATCGTTTTCATTTTACCTGGTTTAGCTGAAGCGATCCCATCAAGCTAACCCAATATCTACCTTTAGATATTTGTGAATGTGTTATTATTGCTGCTGAAATGGCTCTTACCTCACTTTAATAGTAATGTGGTTGTTCCTAAAGATCTTTTGTTTTCTTTTGTTTTACTACATGTATTCAAGTAAAATAAACAGAAAGTAATTATTTATGTCAATATATATTTATGTATGATTATATATGTTTGATTTGATTAGTAAGAAAGGACTTATGGTAAATTGGTACGTTGTTTTGCACAGCACCGGTTATAAGCTAGTAACTAGCTTAACCTAGTTAGCATTAGTGAAGCTGACACATCAGTGAGCTATTTTGGTTTGTTTCAGTAAACAAAATAAAAGATAATATCTAAATAAAGTTTTACCAGATGTAAAAGACTTGAGTCCATCTGAGCAGCAGGTGATCTGTGTGTATCTATGTGTTTTTGCGTGTTTTTGTGTGTGTAATGTAGTTAAAAGTCTTCAGCTTGTCCAAAATGCTGCAGCTAGAGTTCTGATGAGAATTAAAAAGAGAGATCATATCTCTCCTGTCTTAGCTTCCCTACATTGGCTACCTGTTAAATTCAGAATAGATTTTAAGATCCTTCTTCTCACATATAAAGCTCTTAATAATCAAGCTCCATCATACATCAGTGACCTGATTGTTCCATATGTTCCTAACTGAGCACTTCTCTCTCAGACTGCAGGTCTACTGGTGGTTCCCAGAATATCTAAAATTAGGATGGGAGGCAGATCTTTTAGCTATCAGGCTCCTCTGTTGTGGAACCAGCTCCCAGCTTTAGTCCGTGAGGCAGACACTTTGTCTACTTTTAAGAATAGGCTTAAACCATTTTTATTTGATAGGGCCTATGGTTAAAATCTGATGTTAGCCTAAATCTGGTCAAGTGGGGGAATAGAGGGAGGTGGAGTGTACAGTCGGTAAAGACGGCTCTCCCTTGCCCTGCCTCCAACATGCCTACATCTAAAAGGATAGATTATCCAGAGTTATCTCTGTAGTTATGCTGCTATAGGCTTAGACTGCTGGAGGATACACTGACCACTTTCCACACTTCTGCTTTCTTCTACAATCTGCTCTTTAACTGTATTATTTCCTGCTATTTCAGCTGTTAACTTTATTTTCTCTCTAAGTGTTTTTCTCCCCAGAAGAAGCTACAATGACGTTCTGCTGAGCTGTGGTGGCCTCATGGAGGGGGCCATCGTCTAGCACACTGCTGCTAACCACTAAAACATTCTCCCTCTCCTGATAATAACACTTTACTCTCTTTGACGTTGGATGTGCTACTACTAGTTTACCCGTTTAGTTATAGATTCACTAGGATGAATACAATAAAGTTTATCTTTCACCAAATAGAATATTTACTAAGAAATCACAATGTAACCATGGACACATTGCTTGCCTTTGTGTGTGTGTGTGTGTGTGTGTGTGTGTGTGTGCGCGCGCGCGCGTGTGGGGGGTCTTGTTCTGTGTGAAAACGAAGCGGTACAAGTGATAATGCTGCTGGATTTCATAACTGTATCTTCTCAGCAGCAGCACTGCAGGTGCTCTCCATGTCCAACATGTGCGTAAGCCAGGTCCTTAGTCAACTTAAAGTTGCGCACATTTTTCCTCTTAAGTTTTCTTTCATAAATCCCAGTTTGCGTGGAAAGTTGCTTACGCAGTTTTCCAACCCCGTTTTGTGCGTAAGCAAGCTTGATAAATGAGGTCCCTGACCTGTATTGGAATATTTATTGTGTGAAGGTCCTTGGGACGACTCTTGTCGTGGTTTGGTGCTTTATAAATGAACTTGAATTGAATTGTGTTTCATCTGCGTGTTTAAAGCAATAACTTTGCTGTAAGTAATTATTCATGTTATATGTTGACCTTTGCCCAAAGGTAAATCTGACTCTGGATCAGTTAAACAACCATGTTTCATTTATTTCTGGTTGCTGCATGCGATCAGCTGCTGCTAACCAGCGCCCCCTGCTGTCGCTCCTGAAGAACTGCACCAAAGCTCCTCTTGTCTCTGTCCAGGGTCCTGAAAATAATATCCCGAGTTATTTTTAATGAATATTCTTTTGACCAGATCCTCGTCTTGGGTAGTGATGAGGACTTTGCAGCTGAATCCCAGAGAGCTTGCCGGTTCCTCCTCCTCCTCCTCCTCCTCCTCCTCTTGCCTTGAAAGATTTCTTCTGTCATCCCTTTAACCGGCTCAGCGTCTCTAATCCAGCCGGCTGACCACCGCGGGTTCTTCCACACCGTTATGTGCCAACATAGATAAAACTATTTCAGATCTCATTTGCTGTGTGGAACAAGTTGCCATAAAGCGGATTTAATTGGATTTCTGCGCGGTGAGGAGAATGACCCTGAGCCTTCCAGTAGCTCCGATCTCAGCGTGGGGATGAAAATAAAAAATGACGAGCGGCAGATTTTATATTCTCCCCTCCACAAAGTGGTTTTTCTTCCTGTCTGTGATCCGATGTGCATAACAGACATCCTGAAGGGTTGATGGTTTGACTTTTTAGGTGACTTTGTGGTTTGAAACTGCGGGGATGGAAGCTGCAAAGAAAGGTAAATACTTTTATCTTATTTACAAGCACTCAAGAGTAAATGACATGTGTATATCTGACATGATAGCATGCAGCTGAATACTTTCATTATTGGCACAGTGTTTTTATACTTTCATTGTTTTATTCAGATATTTTAATCATTGAAGGTTATGAATGTGCCTGCAGGTGCATATTTATGGACAGGTGCAGGGATAGTACTGTGCTAAGGGCCATACCGCTTCCATAAAGAAGTAGGTCACATCTGGCCCCACAATACGAGACCTGCAGGACAGAATACCTCTGTGCTCCAATCTGGTGCCATCAAACCCACCCCTACCGTGTTAGATAATAATGTCAGGTCGATTCAAGAGAGGAACAAAGACACGCCATCTATTACTTGTGTGATGCATGTTATTGAACAGAGAGGTTCTTCAGTTAGCCGCGAGATGCTCATGTTGGAGATCTTTTGTTGGATTTTTGTCTTCATCCATGCCAGATGCGCCGCCTGCGGGCGATGCAGGAAAATCAGACACCCTGGGGTCGACTGGCTCGGCCAGGAGGAGGGGAGGGGGAGCCAAGAAGGCGATGCAGGCCAACAAGTCTGCCCTCAGAGCCCCCCGAGCCCTCTGCTGCCTCACTCTGAGCAACCCCATCCGCATGGCAGCACTGGCGCTGGTGGAGTGGAAATATCCTTCTCTGTGTTCAGGTGTTCACACACACATGCTGAAAACATGTGACACATAAAGCACGCTGGAGCCTTAACTAAATCTGTAAGCCCTTTGATATTTTCATCCTGCTTGCCATTTTTGCCAACTGTGTGGCCATGGGCGTCACGAAGCCGTATCCAGATGATGATTCCAACGCCACCAACCACCAGCTGGTGAGTCACAGCAGGAGGCACGCGACACAGCTCGACCGTGTTACATATAAGATGTAGATCTGGCTTCGTGGCTCCAACACACCAACAGCCTTGATGCTGATTTCCACGATACTTCAACTGTAATACAGAAGCATCAGGCTAAGAGTGTAAAAGAAGGGGAGAATCACAGAATCCTGTTATTACCGCACTCATTTCTTTTGTTTTCTTTATCACTGCAGAAGTGTCACAGACCGGACCCCCCCCCCCCATCAGGTTTAATCTAAAACACCCAAAGTGACATCTAGAAGAGGGTCTTTTTTATTTCCTCCTACGTGTCGCCTATGTGCGCCTCCTGTCTTGTTTTATATCATCTGGGAGGTTTTTATGGGTGAACGCAGCGCTCGTCTAGCCCAGAGGCCCAGCATAAGGACGAGCTCATTACTCAGCTCTCGTTCCACACTTTTACACCGAGATCATTCATGTGTAGAAATGCTGCAGCTGCTTTGGTGGCAGCCTAAAAACACGATGATGGGATTCAGTCAATCCAATGTGATATGCGAGGACTCGGACATCAAACGATGCCGAGTTACAGCTCAGCGCGCACACACACACACACACACGTTTATTCCCGAGCTCAGTCATTTACACAAACCTAACATCGCCTAGTTCCTTTTCCTGAAACGTTTGTTTTAATCGCTGAGCTGGACGTTAGACATCATCACATAAACACAATACCAAAACGGGGAATGGAAGGTGAGGCTTCTGCATCAGATAACTGAGGATCTGTAGAAACAACAGAAGCTTCTGACTGTCTCCAGGTGAGGTTCGTTTGAGCCTCACCTGTCTGATTTGTCTCAGACTCACAGCTCAGTGGACAGAACGTCCATACAAAATATGGACGAGTCAAAATCTCTAGACAGAAGGAAGAGAGCATTTCCATTTGTACCAAACGCTCAGACAGGACCTAGTTTGCTTGTTCCCAGTGACCTCAGCCAGGTGAGCCTGTCAGGGGTCAGAGGTCATGACTTACTTAAACACTGACCATCTGCCTCATCTTGTTTCCCTTCTCCCTGAGTCACTCTTTGCTGCTGTCTTCTGCAGGATGTCCATGACCTACGCAGTCAGAAAAGAAATCAAATCATTAAAACCAGGGG